CTATAATAATTAATCTATCGATTTATTTTAATAATTTCACTCTAGGTGTGCTCCTTATATGACTAAAATTCACATTTTTTTTAATGAATTGAATAAAAAAAATTATATATGGAATACCCGGATTTACAATGGTTAATTGCTTGTAGAAAATATTTGTGAAAAAATTTCTTTATAGTTTTTCTTTATTTTTGGGTCACTTAAGGCAGTAGGCTGATATAGAGACTTCAAAAAAATGCATTTTTTTCCTTAAATCTATTCTAAAACTATCCAAGAATATATCTTAAGAATTTCAGTGATCAATTCGAAGCTAGCGCAGTTTTAGTGGCCGAGGCTAGAGTAGGTTTTAATGATCAGCAAAACTTGTAAGCGCGTTTTCTCGAGTTCCCATATTTACAAGATTTAAACAAGAGAGTAAAAAGAAAATATGTCCGATCTAAAAAAATCCACGTGATCTCGCTTCAGTATTAAATTATATTCTATTGAAACTGTAAAAGTTGAACAAAAGTATTATTTTAACTATATTTTTTTACTATATAAATTGATTTTTTTTTCAAGCTTCGAAAAAATTTAGAATTTTTAATTTTTTTGGTTTAAAAAAAAATTTCAACTGTTTCGAATGAATTGTACGAGCTCCATTACTGGTACCGTTTAACGAGTTCAGAATGCAGCCGCTTCAGAAAGCTCATCACAACATTGGAAAATTCTCGTATTTCTTCATACTGAAAATAGTTTTTTGAAGCTTAAATATAGTAGATTATTGTCTGGAAATTTCGTTTACCGCAATATTTTCTTTCTTTTTCAAAAAATTGGCCAAAAAATCGTTTTTTGCGAGTTCTAAAGAATTAAATATTTCTATAACAAAATCCATTTTATAGTCAACTCATGTACCTAATCAACAACATTCGCCCGACAAGGGTTAAGCCATTTGGTGCAGTTCCTATAAGCAGAATTGTTACTTGATTCCTTGAATGTGGAGAGTCAATGGCTTGCTTGCTTGCTTCCTTGCTTACTTGTTTACTTGTTGGTAATTGGTGAAAGGCAAGACTTAACGCAACCACAAACCAACCGTTATTATTGGTGAATGTATCCCACAACCATATATATGTGATATATATGCAAGTATGTATGCAGAAAAAAATATATACTAACAAGTATATATATGTACATATGTATATAAAATAATGGAGTTAAGCGGAAGTGACCCACATGAAAGGAAAAAAATTCCTTTTGCTTGGCAAAAATGGCAAAAACACAAAGAAATGAGGGGATCGAGCCAAACTGATTTATGAGATATTCCATTGTTTTTAATTTCACATTAAATTGATATAATTTACTCTTTCATTATAATAAAACCAAATTACATTTATGGACAAATGCACTTGCTTCATTTTTTCGTTTGTTTGTACATAATTTTATATGTATGTATGTATGTATGTATGTATGTGAGAAATAGCATTCTAACTTAATGAGAAATTCGCTTGAAAACCGCAACCGAATAATTGGCCTAATAACAGTTTAAACTATTGATTGTAAATAAACCGTAATGTCATACAACTGCTATGTAATTTATAATTTTATTGCATGAGTGAACACACTTTTACGTAGATATATTATATATTTTTTATAATCACACTTGCCAATTGAACTGCTCTTGGCAGTTTACCGAGTAATTCTTTGCTGTCCAATTTAATGTTCCCATTTGTACTTGAGCGTTACTAGCTTTTAATACCGCTAAGCGCTACATAATTATGCGCAATGATGTGTATAGTATGTATGATAGTACATATATACATACATATCTTGGTGTGGCATTCAACGTTTAACTGATTTTTAATGATCAACAGAATTGGTGCACGTCAAACTGACAAGGTGTAAATGTTGCGAGCAGACAGCTAAGCTGCTAAGCTCAACTGGACGCACACTCACTTTTACCAATATTATACACGAGTATATATGTATATATTGAGATGCATATATGCTCTTAGAAAATCCGACTATCGACTAATTAAAAATGAAATGCAAGCAACAGAAATTTAAGCCGCATTGAAAAGTCTCTTCCTCGCACACACACACACCCCCAAAACCATACATACATATATATATATTACACTTCGTTCCTGCCTACCGAACGTTAGTTACCGTTTGTTGTATAATAGACTGTAATTAATTTTGAGTAATGTATCTGTAGATATGTATGCGTGTATGCTGATAAGTAATAATAAACTAAATCTCAAGTATAGACAGTTATGTAAGTATATATGAGCAAATATTATATACATATGTATGTATGTTTTAAGAGCACTTAGAGTAGTTATTACCGAGATTGGAGGAAGATCTCGTAAATACTCATGTGAAATCTATTTTTAAAAAGCACATATTACTGTTAACCAAGGCGAGTATGAATGTATGACCAAAGCTTTTCCGGTAGTAAAAATTATTCAACGGGAACTCGTAACCTTTTTGAACACAAAACTTGATTTTGAGATGATTCGATATTTATATGCGTCAAGGATACCGCAATTAAATCTTAAATTATAAATTTTTTTGTTTTCTTAACTTTTTTAAAAATTCTAGGTATAAGAAAACTTGTTTGTATAGTAATTTATTTATATTATTTGTATATTCCTTTTTATTGTTTTTTTTTTCATTCATATTTAGTAATGCATTTATTAACTATTGTAAATTAATTTTTATCATTTTGTAATTTAATTATTATTTTTATTTAATATTTTCTCGTCGATTGTTTAGCAGTGCGTGCAACCATACAGAGTGGCCAGATCAAAGTCCAAAATTATAGAACTTACATTTTTCTAATTTCGGTTACCAATCTGAGCGTATTTTTGGCATGAAATAAAAATTCTTTGTAAGGTTTTTAAAAAAAAAATAAAAATGTAAAACTTGTCATTTGCATATTTACAAACGCACTCGGTAATGAAATATTGTTGAGTAATGATTCACATTTTACGTATGGAAACTAACTACATTTTACAAATATTTTAAAATGTCTCTGAAATTGCGTTTGAGTCACGTATTTGAGCATGACTTAGATTAGTTTCGTTTGAAAAGGAATTCAAAATAAATTGTATATTTACTACCATGACATAATAACAATTAGCTAATGGCAGACAAAATAAAAGAAAATACCTAAGAATATTTAGGCAATTTTATTTTATTTTATTTTATTTTATTTTATTTTATTTTATTTTATTTTATTTCATTTTATTTTATTTTATTTTATTTTATTTTATTTTATTTTATTTTATTTTATTTTATTTTATTTTATTTTATTTTATTTTATTTTATTTTATTTTAATTTATTGTCTAGTATTTTTTATTGTATTATATTTTATTTTTTATTTTATTTTATTTTAAAAAATTATATTTTATTTTATATTATTTAAAGTTTTACATTTTTTATTTCATTTTATATAATGTTATTTTATTTATTTATTTTCTTTGTTTATGTGATGAATAAAAAATCACTCCTAATACTTTTGCCTGTACTCTTGTTACGTAAATTTTTTTAATTAACCAAATGCTTTTACTATTCATTCATCAACTAAAAAAGTTGAACTTTGAATTTGCAGCACATTTTCACATAACGTGCCAAACAATTTTCGCTGGACTTATTTTTAATTTTGATTATTCATTATTTTGACTTACGTAAAACACAGAAATAAATATGAATGTTAGTCAATATTGAAAAAAAAGTAATTGAATGATTTGAATTTTTAAACGAGTTCAGTGATACCAAGAATTACTTCCCGAGGGGTATACTACAAAATAATGTTGTATTATGGGAAGGTGAGAACAACGTGACATTTAAAAAAGGGACAAAAAATACATAAACTTTTGACCAATGTGAGAATATTTTTTATCACAATTTTAGTATAATGTGTATGGAATATTTTTGTTAAAATTTCTGTACAGAATTTTAAAAAATTATAAACTAAAATTTTTATATTAAAACTTTGAATTAATTTTAAACGCGATAAGGTAAAAATTTTGGCTGCGCGTTTTTTTTTTTTTTTTGTTTTTTTTCCGTCTTATGCCTTTCTTACCAAAATTAAAAATAAATAGGGAAATAGGAAATGGAATTACCACGTATAAATGCTTCTGCTGGTCAAATTATTAACAATTAATACTTAAATATAGAGCAAGTGAGTAAAAAAGTTTAAAAACTATAATAAATACGTTTCCCAAACGCGATATTCGTACGCCGCACCGCACGGAACTGCCACTTTACTATTTTTCATAATTCGCACATTTTCTTTGTTTTGCTTTCTTGCATGTTGTTAATGAGAAAAAACGTAGTCAAACATATTTATGTACATACATATGTATTGTATATGTACATATATAACCAAACATTTATTTTTACACATTATCAAAATGTCTGCTATGTATGTTGGTATGCAATTATAATTATGTGTTCAACAACATTGTTAAAACACACACAAGAGCAACATTAAAAACATACCTATGTATGTACATACATACATACAGACGTTCATATATGATTATTAAAGCTACCATTGCTACTGTATGGGCGAATATGCGAAACAAAATGTAAAATTCGTTAATTACATTATAATTTGCGGCTAAAAATAAAACTGCAAATAAAAAAACTCAATACAACAACAAAAAAAACATAGTAACATTTAGACGCATTATTTATTGCATTATTAAGTTTTAATTAATTTTTAACAGCCTAGTCGATGAGGCCTTAAACAATATTTACATATTACTCATTTGTATGTAGGTATGTATGTATATGGAGCTGCAGATGGGACGTTATGCCGCCGAATTTGGAAAAGGAAAAGTGTTGAAAATTTACACAGCTGCTTGAGCAATTTAGGGCGCCCCATGGGCTGTAAGCCGAGCAGTAAACAGACGAATGAATGTAGGAATTCCCACAGGCATAGAAATGTACATACATACATATGTACATATAACTTAATAATAATATTTTCACTTTACACTTGCAGTTACTTACTTACCAACTATTGAATTTTTGGGCTCGGCACTCAAAATTTCATGTATCCAGTTGCAAACATGCTCCCTACTGGAAAGCGGGCTTTTTACTTATGTGCCACCGTTGAAGTGCTTTCCAGCAAATCAACTGTGTGCTAAGTATCCTGCCGAATTTGCCGTTGCTAAGCACGCACAAGTTTTTATATACAAATTTTTACGTACTCGTATGCAGATAATTTTCACTTTTTTTTGGCGAACCCAGGAACCCACAAAGTACACTTACCACACTTTTATTGCTTTCTAGGCGAAAATACACAGCTTTGTATGTATGTTTGTATGTTTGTATATAACTTTTGTGTTATTATCTATTACACACTTCATACACAACTTGTGTATTCTCTTCTACTATTTGGCACGTGAGCTTTTCACTTTCTTTCTTCACGACACGACAGACACCGCCTTTTCAGGGCTTAGAATGTCTTAAATTACACTGCGGATGTACATAGAAAGATTTGTAAGTATGCATTTATGTATATGTAGAACACTGTAATCAAACGAGACAATTTTATTTTTGTTTTTTACACAATTTTATTGATTTTTGCCGGAAGATTGCATATACAATTTTTTTATTTTTCTTTTTTTTCTTGTTTCTTGACCGTGGAAAATTATTTGTGATTTTTCAATTGCATGCTCATGAGACAAATATCGCAAATCAAACAACCCTCCCCAGCTATTAAGAAAGCCTTTGTGTTAGAAGGTTTCGTATCCCTTGGATACCGAAAATTAAACACAAAACGTAATTTCTGTCTTGCAACTACACCTGTTCTCACAACAACAACAACAATAACAACAAAACAGCAGTTGAGAATTGGGGGTAAAGCAAGCCAAGCAGAGAATTAAAAAGAAGCTAAATAAACTGTTTAATAAGAAGGAACAAGTGCAAGTGCCTGTGACATCGAATGTCAATTACAGATATTAAACGTAATACATATTTATATATGTGCATACATACAAAAATGTATAAATGTGTAGATTTGCAACAACTCAGGGCCAGTCGTGTACAGGTACTTAAGGTCGTCAGTTTTACCCACAGTATATACACATAAATGTATGTACATATGTGTATATCTAACAATTGAAGGCCCTGTGTCACTTGCTAACGTCACTGACTTTGTGTTTTGTTGTTATTGATACATGGCTGCAGCTGATAACTGCTGTTTATGACTGACTAGCGTCTGCTACATCTCCTGATGTTGCAATTTGCCTTTTGCAACCCCTATATTAAGCACAATTTTTCTACCAACACCGAATGTAGATTTTCCTATTTCCAAAGCGAAAATAGTAAAATTGTTAACCCAATCAACCGCTATTGATTATTTGCTCAACCAAAATTTTTAGTTTCCATGAATTTCATTCATTATTTTTCCACACACTCACGAAAATTTTCTGAGCACAGATGATTTTGTTGTTATTGTTAAGGCGTTTATTTAACCGAATTGTTTAAGTATGCGCGCGCTTTTCCGCTTCCGTTCACTCAAACGGCAATCGGACATACAAATTGTCATATCCGCGTTCAAACGTCCAAACGAATTGAATACGCTCTGCTTAATGAATGTTGGTATTTTGGCAGCTCTTCGCTTTTTTTGTTGGAGCAAATTACAACTGCGCATACGCTCTCTTGAATTGATTTTCTGACGGTGGGAATTTCTCCACCGAATGCCAATTGGCAATGCTTTTGGCGTTAGGGTTGCCTAAATAACTCAATGAAGATATTTAAATTTAAAAGTTTGATAATTAAATAACAAAATTGAAGTATATTATTTGAAACTGCAAAAGAGTTCAGAAAATATGCTTTAAATTTCGGTATTTAATTCTGGTAATATATGGAAAATTTTTATTAGCAACGAAACGATTTTTAACAGCCTCAGGAGACAGATGAACATATAAATAATGACAAAACAATATTGTGAACAATAAAAATATAGGGGAAAGCTGGTAGCGAAATGGAAACTCGATCCCTATAGTAGAAATTTGCAAATATCAAGCAAAGCAAAATTGGTCGAGGGGACTTCAATTGTAAATTTTAAAACGTATAGGATGAATAAGATCACCGTTTCGTTTGAATCATTAGATGAGGCCAACCTGGCTTCATTTGGTGTTTTCAATTGGCGGCAAAGAGCGAGTGGAGCGCTACTTTGGATTCGGCTAAAACCGTATAAGGAATATGAACGCCTATCAAATAGGGGAACAAGTTATTAGTAATTTCGGAAATCAGACTTCAGATTGTTAAAAAAAACAAGTGATTAATCACTTATATCTTTTGCTTTTAAGTGAGCAAAAATTCGATGAAAACAAAAACGATCAGGGACTAGGCGAAAAGAGCCACTATGCTCAACATTCGAGAGAATATTACGTTTTCTGTGTGATCATTACAGCTACTTTAAAATAATAATATATAGATATTTATTCGTATGTCTTCTATCGTCAGTTATTAGAATTCAACCAAGAAATAGCGCGAAAACACTCTAAGTGGGCCAAATTACTAACATGATGCATGTTCGTCACACGCTCAACCCCACCTTAATGCGTTGATTAAATAACATCTGGCTACAATATTATTAAAACCCATTGAAACCTGAGATTCCGATCAGGTTAGGGAAAATGGGGTAGATCAGTTTTTCTATTTTAACAGCCAAGTTTTTCTTTTAAAAGGAATTTTGAAAATTACATTAATATTTTGCAAAGTCTTTGTTGCCTTGAGCTTCAAATAATATGGCTTTAATTCGTTCCCTAAAACAGAGCAGTGAAACTTAATACTCAGCGGAACCGACAAATATACGACTGCTTAACGAAGGTGAGAAAAGTTATGAAATCCCTAAGTTCTGCAAATTTTAATAGTCCTCATGATCCATTTTCTATTACAGGGTTTTCAATTTATTGGGTAACCTATCTACAACTAGTATTTAAAGAATTAGAAAAGAGTTATTATGCTGCAAAGGTAATTATTATTCCTTACATGTAGTTAAACTTAATTTTTTTTAATGCAAACGAAAATAATATATTTTTTTAAAAACTGACGCAAAGTTAAACTTTATTTAAATGAAAATTTATTAGTTGAGTTATAATCAAGACGGCTTCGCTTTAATCTCTATTCACTTAACCAATTCCTCTATTACATTCGCTGTTTAAATATTTTATAGTCAAAAAATTTAAAGTCAAAAAAAAATATTTAAATGTCCAAAAAAAATGTACAACTGTATATCTCTGTAAATTATAGCGCACACCCTAACCTGAATTAAATTTCCCTCAACGTCTGTGGTGAAGGTAACTCTGTGAAAATTATCTAGGCAGCACTGCTTACTGCCAGTGAAAAGTCAAATACAATTTGTAAATAAACAAATGTGAAAACTTTAATAATATTATTTGTTATCCATGAAAACATACATGTAAAGTGAGAAAATATATATGTAAAATGCAAGTTAGCACAAATAACTATTATGAGGAGTGCGGACGTGAGGGCCAAATACGCTGTATATTCCTAAGCGAATTCCATGCAACAGCTGGTTGTAAAATTAGCTGTCAGGTGAGATGGAAATAAAGATTTTAACTAAAATTCAGTCTATTGGAATTTGCTATACTATTGTATATACATCTTCACATCAGGTACCCGCCGATTATGTTAGCAAAGAAGTTTTCGATGCCATAAATGTATATATAATACCAAAGCCGCATTTGCAACGTTGCATACTCACTGTCAATGCGATGGACATAAAAATTGTTGGCTATCCTGTGGGTATTGAAAATCAACAGAAATATGCACGCAATGCGTTTCTCTTCAATTTATGCTTTGTGTGTGACTCCTGGGCACGTTCGGTGCAATACGAACCAGTGGTCAAAAAGTTGTCGGAGTATCTGGTAACCAATAATATTTTTATATAAAAATCATTTGGTAATAATTTTTGACATGTCGCTTCTTTTTTAGATAATGATGGAGGAAGAATCATGCTTTTTATCGAAAGAAGGTGATCACAAGTTAAAATTGCAAAAAATATTTGAGACGGTTATAAAGGATTTGAATGAAAAGAAAGTAACAACAATTGTGGGTAGGAAAAGCTTTGAAAGAAAGACTCCAACTATATTTGTATTAATAAATAATGATTACAGAGGGTGATACCACAATTTATCTTAAAATTGTTATACACAAACCTGATCCGCCTGTCGTTAAAGATCATATGGTGCCTCTACTTTTAAAGGATTTTAAGAATACACCACTAGACAAATGGGATTTAACAACACAACAGGTATATTTATTAGCGTTCAAAAGATATCAAAGTTTTAGCACCACCTCATTTCGTTCCAGATACTCCCATATATTAATGGCATCAATCACATTGCACGTATTTCAGCCGAAGCGGATGTTGAAACCAATCTCGTCAAGTCTTGTGTACAAAATTTAGCTTACTATGGCGTAGTACACTTACTGCCCATACTAAAATATAGCAATGTCTATATGTGTACACAACATTTGAAAAGTTTAATTAAAATACCATCACTGAGCCACGCGTGCCGTAAATATGTGGCTTTAAATCCGGACAAAACGCTGCCCTCCATACAGAAAGTGTTCCAATTTTACGCATCCATGACGCATGGCGTTACACTGCGCGCTATTTGTCAACGTTTATGTCCACAAAATTACAATATCGATGAGCGGAAATTAGTTATATTTGGTTTGCAGCATAAGTTTATACGTTGCATACATAAATATCCCGTTTTTACGGGCTCTGTACCATCGGGTCGGCAAAAGATGTATACGGGACTATCGAGTTTTGATGAAATATGCTGTAAGACTGGTCTATCGCCATCGGATATTGAAAAGGACATTGACAAGGATACCAATGTGACGGTGATATGGAAGTGAAGGAGGGTAGTGGCAGTGTATGCTGTTGGGGGAAAATTTGTGTTGCGTTCAAATGTGAAATATTTAACTTAGTTTAAAGTTTTATAATAAAAGTTATATGAATATATAAAATTTAGCTTATAATGAGGTAAACTTTTTTTTTTTGCTTTTGTACAAAATATAATGGTGAAATGTTCAGAAATTTCAATAAAATAATAAAAACCCATAAAAACATCTTAAAATGTCATTATAACTTTATAAGAATAAAAGTTTTTTAAATTATTTTTCATATACATATGTATGTATATACAATTAAATTTTTAGTCACTTTCAATTCACTCATGTAATATTAACCTTTTTTGAGTGAAATTTTTGCCCTCAACAAGTAGCAACACTGGTCATTTGAGTGAATCGTGCAGCGTTTCGCATTGAAAACGGTTCACTTCAAATTGCCTGCTAGTAAACATATTTCTGGTGGCAGATCAAGTAGTATATTCGTGTGGCGCGGTTTACGGAAAAAGTCAAGCCGGCTTCAGAGGACTTGATATGACTTTTAGATACATATATAAAACGCAAACGCACACTCTTTTTTTTTAGAAAAATACAAATTTCAAGTGAGCACACAAAAAATATGCAATTAGAAGTGCATTAAGTGATTAAAACTTGCCGAGTTTGCTTTGTTTTTGTATTGATTTAATTTTTCATTATTTTTTTGAGACACAAAAACGATCGTCAATGCATACATACACACAATAGGCACAACTACAAGCGCTTACCTAAGAGAAATGCATATATATTTGTTGCTGTTTTGCTGATAAATCATAAAATTAGCCACCAGTTTAGGTATTATAATTAATGTGTGTATGTATGTGTGCGTTTCTTTGGAGCGGATTGCGTACATGTGTATGTGTCTGTGCGAGATTGTATTGCATGAATCATCTGTGAGTGATACAAAAACAGCAAATTGAAAGCAGAGTAAAGAGATAACAACAAATATAAATAAATGTAAATAAATAAAAACAAAAAAAAAAAAACAAAAAAAAGTGTATTAATAAATCTTAAAAACCAAAAACAAAATCCATACGACACAATTTCACAGCGACAAAAGCGACCAACTATTAAAATTTTACAAGAAAAAAGCGGAGTGTTGGCATAAAATGATTGCTAAATATCAACGTAGTGTTGTTGTAATATAAATTAAATGGCAAAACTAGCAAAAATACATACGCAGATATGTACATTATGTGCTGAAGGGTGAAATTTTCTAGCCTAAACGGAAATACAAACATATGTATAGATGTATGTACATATGTATGTCAAATCGTTGAAGAGTGGTTAGTGTGTCTTTCTTTCCTTCTCCACATCAAAAATTAACGCAAATATGCGAAAAAACTGGTTGTGTGTACAATAAAAAATAATAATAAAAGAAATTATTATTACTGGAAAGTTGTGTAATTAACACTTGTATCGCCTGTGTAGGAAAAAGCGCAAACAAAAAAAAAGCAATAAAAATAAAAATAAATAAGCGGTGTATACAAGTTGATGGCGTTTTGAAAAGGTAAGAAACATATGTATTTTGTACAAACATGCACAGGCAGCATAAATATCTACAAATACATACATACATACATATATATATTTATGTACATATGTATGCTTGTAGGTATATAAATGCAGCATAACTACATATACACAGAAAAAAAAAATTTATTCTAAAAACCCGTCAACAATCATGACAAGAATATAGTAATTAAAAGCTGTCAGGCGGGTGGGTCGTACATTGGTGTGGGTAAATGCCAGCTAAATGTCTGCTACAGCTGATAGATGCTTAGGCTGGTTAGTTGGTTGGTTGCTTGATGCGTTCACTTATGCATGTTTGTTGTCTCATTGTTTGCATCTCAGACTGCTCTCAACAATTCAACATTCATGCTAAACGTGTATGCATATACATACATGTGCATAATATGCACATATGTATTTGAGTAACTCTGTATCTTGCATCCATTTAACTCGTTTTTTGCCTTTTTGTGCTCACTTTGAGTTGTCTGACGACTTTTTCAAAAAGTAAACACAAAGCATAAACGTACACAAATATATGTACATATACATATGTACGTATATAGGTATACATATGTACTATGCATACGCTTGGAGAAAAATATTAATTGTTAATTAAGAAGAAAGTCGCGCAAAGCAGTTTAAATATATTTTTTCAAATTTTTTTTTTGCAAATTATGTTAATTACTTTAAATGAGTTTAAAAATATTTGCAAGTTGTTCAATTTGTTTGCAAAACATCAAGCCGCAAAACCACAAATTGCAGGAGGAGTTCGGCCGAAAATCGCTTTAGCGTTTACAAGGCGCCAATTATACATATACATAAATATGTTGTTCAATTTTATTTAATTTCATTTTTATTTTATTTATTTTGTTTCACATTACTTTATTTTATTGTAAAGCAAATCAGTTTTATTTAACTTATTAAATTATTTTTCTGATTCCTTAATTAATTTTATTTTCTCTTATTATTTATTAGATTATATTTTAACTTTTTAATTATTTCATTTTATTTTACTTCATGTTTTTTTTTAATTTCATATTTTTTTACGTTATGTTTTTTATTTTATAATTTTTTTTTTATATATTATTTATGAAAAAATATAAAAATTCCGGCGAAAATGGTAATGTAAATTTTATATTATTTTCTTCAATTTTTTTTTAATTTCTTCATAGTAGTATAATATATTTTTTATATAATTTCATTATATATTATTTTATTTTACTATTGCACAAATCAGTTTTATTTAAATGTTTTTTTAACCTTTTATTTTAATTCATTTCAATTATTTTAAGTTATGTATGTGACTTTGTTTAACATTATTATTTTATATTAAACCATATTTAACTATTTTTAATTATTTGTTTTGTTAGTTATTATATGTATATTACTTAGCTATTTTTATTGCATTATAAAATATTTTATTTTGTTCTAAAAATTTTTAATAATTATTATTTAATTTCGTTTAATTTCATACATATTTATGTTGAAAAAAATGTTTTTTGTTTTACTTTACTTTATATTATTAAAAATTATATATTTATAAATTTATTTATTTTTGTTTTGTTTTATTTCGTTGTATAATCTTTTATATTATTGCTTTATTTATCTAACATTATTGTAATAGTTTTGTTTTTAATTTAATATAGTTTGGTTTTATTTTATATTTTTTTTAATTGATTTCAATTTTTTTTACTTATTTCATTTTGTTTTGTTTAACTTTTATTCGTTAGATTATATTTTACCTTTTTATACGAAATCTTTTTATTTATTATATTTTGTTTATTTTAATTATTTATTATCATATCTTCCTTTATTTTTATGTCGTTTGTTTTTTGTTTTTTAAATCATATTTGAATTTGCTTAATTTTATGTTATTTTAATTTTTTCATTACATTTTATTTTATTTTATTATTATTATCGTTTTGTATTATATTATACAATTTAATTTTCTTTTTATTTTTATTTCATTTTATTTTAATTAATTTGTTTTATTTTTTCAACTATTATTTAATTTTGCCTTATTTTCTTTGATTTTCTTTTAATAATTTTCACTAATCTTTTTTTTTTTTGAGTTTATTTAATTTGAATTTACTTTAACTTTTTTAATGAAAGTGTTTAATGGGTTTTCTTGTATTCTGTTATTGCATTTTTATTTTTTTATTGATAAATATTTTAAGTTATTATATTTATTATTTTACTTATTTTCTTTTTTTATTTTGTTTAATTTTATTTATATTTATGTTATTTTATTTATTATTTTTATTTTTTCCTCTTCTTTAATATTATTTAATTTGAATAAATTTTATTTTATTTTATTCTTTCATCTGTTATTATATTTTGCGTTATTATATTTGATGTTGTTTTAATTCTTTTTAATGTTTTATTTTGAGTTTATTTAACTTATATTTATTTTATTACATCATATAATTAATTTTGTTTAATGTTTTTTTCTTGTACTTTGTTATTGCAATTTTATTACTTTATTGGTTAAATTTTTTACATTATTATTATTTTTTTTTTTATTTTTTAACTTATTTTATTTTAATTCAATTTGGCTTATATTATTTTATATATTATTTATTTTATGTAATTTTATTTTATTTAATAATTTTTTTTTTAATATTATTTTATTTAATAAATTTTATTTTATTTTTATTTTCTTTTATTTTTTGTATTTTTATTTTTTCAACTTTATTTAATATGTTATATTTTTTTTTTGTTTTAAATCATATTTAATTTATTTCATACTTTTTTTTATTTATTTTTATTTAAACTATATTTTTTCTAATGTAATAATAATTAATTTTTTAATTTAACATTTTGAAATTTATTATTTAATTAATTTCATTTTATTGATTTCATGGATTTTATGTTAATATTTTTTTAGCTCATTTTATTCTATAATATTTTTTAAATTTTCTTAATTTAAATTAATTAAATTTATTTAATTTTATTCAATTCAGTTTAATTTAAATTGATTTATTTTCATTTTCATAATTTTTTTGTTGATTTTATTTCATAATTTTTTCTTTCTCATAAATAATTTTTTTTGTTCATTGCTTTGTTTATAATTGAATTTAGTTTTTAATTTATTTACTTTTATGTGATTCTCTTCAATTTTTTTTAAATATATTTTATTCATTATATTTTATTGCTGTTGCTGTTTTATTTTATTCGGTTAAAAGTAATAAAAATCATTGTCAAAATTTTTGTAAACTCTGGGAGCGTAATTTGCCGGTGTTTTAAAATATGCATATGTATGTATCGTGTAGGTGTGTACTACTCGCTGCTATCTTTCGATAGCAATTAAGATAAGAAACTAAATTTTTATCAAATTGAAAGACAATTCGTTTTTGTGTCAATTATTTCACACAATCGTTTGGCGGCTTGTAAATACATATACATATATATGTATGTATGTATGTATGAAGTCTTATCAGCGAAACTCTATGAATAAAAATTTTTGTAAAATCGTTAAATATAGCAATTAAATTTAGATATGAGCATATTAGAAGACACTATATAAGTATGTAGTTATGTACATATTAACATTTAGTAGTTTATCTCTCAATTCAAAAGCAGATGAAGCGTTACTCCTATCGGTTTTATTATATTTATGAGATGATTATCACGAAGCCATTTTCTTTCGTATGGAGTGCTTAATTTTTCAACTATTTACTATTACTAATAAAATATTTTTTCGCTAAAAATTAGCAATTAATTATTTAAAAAGAAATTAGAAAGCCATAATTAACAGTGCTGGTGCCAGCGTTGGCAAAGAAAACCAATTATTGATCATTAATAAAATAATTTTTGCTTTAAATATTTATTTAAAATTACTAACAATTTGCAACGGCTGAATTGCAGTGTATAAAAGCACACACACACACACACTTAAATGCACTCGAGCAACTCCAAGCAGACAAAGTGGAGAGAGACAGCGAAGCTCCGAAGCTTCATGTACACACGCCTATTCCACTTACATTCACATCAATAGACAAATACTCACAGACATACCAATACACATTCAAATATGAGTATAAACATTTAGACATACATACATACATTGCATGTAAATGCACTCCGCCTGTAAGCTGACAAGGGCTCATGGCATGGCAGCAGCAAAAAGACGGTGTGTGAATTACAGATTAAATGCAGTGAAAATGTGTCAGGCAAAAAGAAAAAAAGAAAAAAAATCAAATATCAAAAGAAAATAAATAGCAACAAAAATGATTACTTATCAGCCGTGCATTGTACTGTTTTTAACACTAGCATTTTTATATATTTATATAAATATGATTGTGCGCTAAAGGTATGCCGCTTAAAGAAATATAATATGATGTGTGTATGTATGTTTATATAGTTGTTATTGTATATATGTATTTGGTTAGTTAACAAGCTATAAAAAACTTATTTTTATCGCGCGCCTGTTTTGTCATTGCTCATATTGATCAGGTCTTGTGAAAGTAAATGAATGATAATGAAAAGGGTGAGACAATGAAGAAAATTCAAAAAAAAAAAAAAATATATATATATAAAAATATGCAGTTGCTTATTTTGTCGCCTTTCTGCAATTGGGAATGTGGTACAATATTTTATAACTTTATTGTTTAGATCTTTTTTTTTATTTATGAAAGTAATTCCATGGGACGCGCACATTCATTAATGCAAATAGACACTGCTCAGCGCGTAGATATGTAGATTACATACATAGTTTTTCATTTGTGACACATAACATATACTTATATCATACATACACATACATGTGAATGTCTATTCATACATACATGCATATGCATGTGTGTCTCAAATGCATAATAGTCTTTTTTTTGTAGTTCGCCACCTGTTGGCATTTAATATTTATGTGCATTTGTTGCCTTGTACTTATTACATCGGCTTTCGTAATTTGATTTGGTGGCAAATATTTACATACTTACATATGCATACATAAATACATTTTCGGTAGAAATTTATAGTATTATTATACCATTTTATGGT